ATATATATAGCAGGTTAAATGTGGAAAAAATATCTTTTTAAAAAAATCCATATTCAGTTAAATAGTTTCAATGTCATCATTGAACTGATATGAACGTTTACAAATGCTACCCTTAATTCTGTCATTGAATTTAAACTACCCTATTGTAATCATCTTAGAAAGAACTTACAATTTTTACTACTTGTGGTATATATTTTATGATAAACTTATCTGAAATTATTAGATCTCGTTACTTTTGTCGATCATTGTTCGATCATCATTAGTGACTAGCTTCGTAAGAAAATTGTCGCCTTTGCAGTGAAAAGCCGTGACTACTGGAGTCGAGTGTAATGCAGTTACCTACAGAAGACAGCGGGTGAGGTTGATCAAGGTTGGAAATTAACACCGCTGGTTGCCCGCTCAGTGGTCTTGAGTTTAAATGTTCGCATGTGAGAAAGAAGGTTCTGAGATCGATTCCCACCAGCGGAGGTCATGGATGCGAACTGCTGATAAGTTCCGTACTAGGACGAAACGGCCGTCCAGTGCTTCTACGTCTCTAATGGTGGTCTAACATTGATCGATCCATTGTTTCAATAAGTAACTCAACAGTCTCCACAACCCTGTAATGCATTTACCTGCGCTCATTAGTGACGAGCTCCATGCGGAATCTTCTTCGAGTGCTAGAGAGAAGTTGTGACAAATGGAGTTCAACCCTGTTTGGGTGCAGGCAGTAACTTCCACCACTACAGTGAAGTACAAAAAAGTCAAGACCAGATAGAATGTATTTATTTGAAGAACGCCCAATTTATTTACAAAATTTGTATACATAATCTTCAAACATCCTAATTCAATGCTAACAGGTTTTAGACTGCCTTCTCTCACATCTCTTCTGATCTTCAATTTACTCTGATTGCACCATACGTTTAGATCTATCAGTCACTCCTCTCTTGTAGAAAGTTCTGTGTAACACTCCACTGCATGGTACTTAAATGCCATCTTGTGAAAAGCGCCCAAATACTACTACTGTAGTGAACGAGAACACAGGTGGAGTAACCGGATTGTATTCAACGAAAATTACAGAGTTACTCAGTAAAATAGGAAAGCCATATCATAAATCGTTAATTTGCAAAATATCAGTTCATCATATCGAACTGGACTGTTCCTGTTGCAAATCATCAATCCATTGTCTCACATTTACTTCACTATTCATGCGTTTCATACAAATTCCATTGTGTTCTAACTCTTCCTTTCTTGATCTTCCCCCCCCCCATCTTCTGCTGCCAGACATTAGGTTGACACTCACGTCATATACTACTTATAAGTAGCTCACACCACACTACTACTACTACTATCACATAACTACAAACCCCATAAAATGAATCAAATCTTAACAAAGGTCATTTACCATTCTGTTATGATTTAATTTCCATCTCAAATATGTGTAACATGCCTTATGACCTGTTAAACTGTTAGCTCTACATTATTGTCATGATGGTTTTCGAAAAAATTTTTAACTTTAAAAGATGAACACATTTTTTAAAATAAAGATTATAGACATATACACGAGAGAGAGAGAGAGACATGCACACACACACACACACAAGAATAAGTTAGTAAAACAATATACATAATTTTATCGCATACATTACGAATAAAACCAACTATTTATTAGTAAGGCCAATTTTTATAAAAATAAACGACGATTCATCGAATCAGACAGAATACAATAAAAAAAAATTAATAGGCCCGCAAAGAAAAATGAACTTATCCAAAGATAAGCTAAGTAAACAAAACAAAACATAAAAAAAAAACTATAAAAATAAAATTATTTTTAGGTTGAGATGGGGAGTGAAGTTTTGATTTTTTTTTTGTATTTCAAATTATTTATCATCTCTCTCGCTCTCTTGCTCACTCAATCACTCAGTCGCTCACTCACTGAGTCTCTGACTCGCTTCATTTTCAGGTAGAAGAGAGAGATAGATAGAGAGATAGAAAGAGAGATGGAAAGAGATGATCAACGACGAGTAAAAAAAACCGATTTAACCACTTCAATACGCATTAAAACAAAAAATTCTAGCTAGACATTTGTATGTATGCAATTGTGTGTTTTCATACAAAAGAGAAGGGGTGTTGAAATTTAACGAATCGAAGTGAATTAAAAAATAGAGAGAATATTGATCAAATGGACATGAAGTACCTTATGTCGTCGATTAAATCATTTATTTAGTTGAGACAACTGAATAATGGTTAGAAATTAGTATTTTTTTTGTTTGAAAAAAGTTTTGTTTTGTGATTATTATTATTATTATTATTATTATTATTATTATTATTATTATTTCGTCAGTGGAAAAGATAAACTTTATGCTAAGTCATAATTTTGTATACAAGATAACGTTTGGTTAAAAGTAATCCATATATAGTTTTGCGTATTATTGTTGTTATCATTCATTATAAATGAGTCTTAATAGCAAAAAGAAAAAAATATTTTAGTCAAAGGTTTTACTATGGTTGATAGTTGTTATTTACCGGTGGTCGAAATTGCTGACGTTTATTGTTAAAAGAAAAAAATTAAGGTTGTAGTTGGAAAAATTTAGTGATAAGTAATTGGTTAACTTGTATGTAATCAGGAAAACAATATTTTGTTTTTACACATCATTAATCAATCAGTCATTGTAAGAACACCATTAGAAACCTGGAAGCACTGAAGGACGGCCGTCTCGTCCTAGTATGGGACTCATCAGCAGTGCGCATCCACGACTCCTGTACCCCACAGAACTCGAACCCGGGATCTTTGGCATTGTAGGCGAACGCCATACCATCGGACCACTGGGCCGGCATCTAACGGTGTTAATGTCTAACTTTGATTGATCTAGGGATTTTGCGCGACCTCACCCATTTGTCTTTAGTAGTTACTGCCTACACCCGACAGGGTTGAACTCCACTGGTCACATCTTCTCACCCTAGAACTCCGAGAATTTCCTCACGAAGCTAGTCACTAGTGAGCACTGTTACGATATATTGGGGCACAGTTTGTTTAGCTATATGAATTCGTTATTTGGCTAATAAAGGGTGTATTGCTGAGAGTTGATTAATTGAAATCCATCTAGTATAAACTGTTTTCGTTTGGATGCTAAACTGTCAGATAGCTTCATTATCAAATCATATGATACTGTAATTTTAATGAAAAATTGTACCTATTATGTTCGAATGATACGCCTGGTAGTTATCAAGAAGTAACTTGAAACATCTTAATTTGGTAGTGTCATGTCGATCGAAGTTAGCAGTTATTGTGACTACAGGAAGGTGGTAAAATGAACAGGCATATAATTTCTCGGGTAAATTCACAAAGTTTTTCATGTCATCTAAAGTAAACTAGAAAAAACGGATACTATTTGTCAGCTATTTTGATTAATTTCTGGTCAAAAGACACAGATTTCTAATTACAATATTAATTAATATACCTTATTTAACATTTAGTGTTTTAACGTAACATCTGAGCTTTTAGTAATTACTCACCTACACCTGTTACCTGTAAGGGAGCATAGGCTACCGAACATCATTCTCCAACCCACTCTGTCCTGAACAATCCTCCCTTGTTCTACTCCGCCGATATTCATCCTTGTCATGTCTGTCTCCAATTCTCGGGTTGGTGTTCCTTGGTCTACATTTTCCCTTTGGCCTAGGAGGTTCCAAGTTAGGGTTTGCCTGATGATGCAGTTGGGCGATTTCCACCATGTATATCCTATCCATCTCCATGATGAAACAAGTGATTACTGCATTCATCTGCACTATTTTTCTGTCGTATCACTTGTATATATATGTTAAAATCCACTATGCATTCACTTCACACGGTAATGTTTCCCGGTTTCCTTTTGTACAAAATGATTCTTGTATTATCTTCTATATTTAAGTACTTATGTAGATACTTTTTGATTTGTATGAAGTAAAAATGTTTTTATAGTGTCTAATGAGTCTGAAACTGACTATTTTACTTAAAACTACCTTTTGGGCATTGCTATATTCGAGCACGTTACTTCAGCTGTTATCATCACCTATCTATTTTATGTAGACGTGTTTCATAATGGTTCTGTCGAAACAATCTTCACAAAATGCATATGTGATAACAAAGCATCATCAAATTTCAATTAAAACAACTGCAAAATCTAAACATTTACAAATAAAATTAAAATCTATGCCTGTTTTACATGTGAACTAATGTCCAAACACAGTAAGTGAGTATAAACTTGTTGATTTTCGAATTAAAAACTGTTGGGTTTAGATTCCGATGTCAACATTAACTCTGGGAAGCAGGTATATCCAGCTGGCGAGTCTCAAATAGGACGAAATGCACGATCCATATTCCACTTCCAGCCTTATTCCATTAATTCTAAATCACCAAATATGTGGCGATCTAAGTGACAGACTTACAATATTTATGAGTTATACGCGGTCAAATAGAACTTCATCCGGACACATTACATTGTTTCGGAGTATTTGAAACCATTCAAGTCTTAATAATAATCCACATGTGACATATCCCTGATCACATAACCCAGATCACAGTATAAAGTTCCTTTAAACCAAAACCTAAAAAAACATCCTAAGTAATCACCCTTCTTTTTCATAAGCTCGCCATTCTTGTTTTCGAAATAATATATTTCATTAAAGAACTGTTATCAGAGTTTCAGGAGATGGTTTATTTAGAAACCTCTATCTTGTTAACCTTGCATTCAAAACTAGTTTTGAACCTTAGTTTCCGTTAGTCAGCTACTCATTTTTATGCTTCTCACGTTGAAATACTGTTCAACTTATATCCAGATTCTGATAGTCAGAGCAGCTTGGATCGTCAGGGCTTGAGAAAACGTAGTCAGAGAGTTTGTATATAAGTATTTAAAATTCTAGTGTTACGGAAGCATCAGAAGTGGGGATCAACAGCGAGGTTTGGCGATGTTCAGTGGGTTCAAATATAGTCGAGTATCGGTCCTAGAATCAGAAGTTTCGAACGTTACCACAGAAATATTATGCAAAGAGTAACACCAAATCAAAACTATAAAGGATTACAAAGTTATGAAGCAGTTTTACAAACAAATAGTTTTATCAAGTAATGAAAGTATTCGCAAAGGGGGAGAAAAAGACGAATACTCCAAACTTCTGAACATGAAGAATTAAAGAACGAATCTGCAGTTCAGTAGTGAGTTGCATCGGTAGAGGTATATAAATCCTCAAAAGTCTTCGCAATTAATACCGACCTTATGAGTTTTGCTGGGAATGCCCATCTGAAGGCAACCAGGCTAGCATCTGCACTCGATCACCTTTGGGAACGTTGTGGAACACATCTCCTCGCACTAATTAGTAAGCTTACTCCACTCACTCCTTGACATCCAAATTAAAGTTCAAAAATAACTTTGATCTTTCTCATTCCTCAAGTCTGGTTTGAATTGGCTTAAGATTCTCAATCAGGAAGGTGTTACGGACAAAAGTGTTGTCCAACTCTGAATATCCGTGTTAACCTAGTAATCAACCTATTCATTTCGTCAACTACACACAAGAATCGAACTATTGGTTGACTAAAGTAAACGACCTCTCATAAAATACATTAAAATTTATCTACCGATAACATTGAGTACGTGATATATCTGCTTGAACATTTGATATGGTTTTAATTAGCAACGAAAGGGCTGGATGCGTGGACAACTTTACTTGTAATATCTTGTTTAGTGGTGATCTAGTTGAGATTGACTATGATCACCACTAAATACTAATTACTAGCCCGCCATTGTAAAGATAAATAAATCCAGTGTAAAGAATATATTTGCTGGTGATTTCGTGGTGTCGAAAGATAGTGCAGATGACGCGTGCTGATGACTGGGTCGTGAGAATGAGGTCTCTGATGAATCCAGCATGGGATCCGAAGGAGAAATAGGGATGCTGCTAGTGAGCTGGACGAGTCCAGCATTGAATCCCGATTTATCGGGTAGGGCACTGTCAGTGACGTGTGCCGGTTTGAGACGATCAATGCTGACTGTATCCATCAGCCTTGAAAATCTTTTCGTGACGAGAGATCACGAGAACAGATCCTTCGTAAGGCTGTCGCAAAGGTTTGCGTACCGAATCTACTCGTATGAAAACGTAAGGACAGGTAAATAACTCTTGATGAAGTGCGACCTGTCGATATTATATTCCAGTTGATACCTGAGTCAGTGTTCCATCTACACAGATAGTCGTTGGACGTTATCTGATATACATAAAATCTCTGCTCCGGGGTGTGAAAAATTACCTGAGCAGATGCAACGTCGTGCCGTATACAAGTTCAGATGCGAACCATTGAATATCTATCGTCGTTGATCTGTAATCGCCGTGTGGTCTCCGACTAATGCCATTTATTTCGTGAACCGAATGGAGAGAGGAGGCTCAAGGACGGCGAAAAAGAAGAAGTAATATATATAGCAAGTAAACTGTCCAACTCCCGCTTGGCGAAAACTGAATTGTTCACTGCCAGTTGGCGAGGTTTTGCCGTGACTGTAGGTCTTCAGGTGACCACATAATTAATCACCGATACAATCACCAATTCAGTTCTCTTCGTACAAGCATTCTACTACACTTTTATTCGCCCTTGGATCGATGCACATTGTTTGGCTGAGCTAGCATCAATTACTTAGTAGATATACCCGAAAAATACGGTATAATAACCAGAATAGCCTGAACGAAACAGCACCATAGTAAATTTTATTATGCAAAAACAGAAATATGTATGGAAATATAAATCTCAAATCGCAAGCGTTTATATCCACACTTCTATTGGTAGCAGCCACAATTATATTCAGCGTGGTTACCTGTGAATGCATGAAGACAATACATGGCTAAATTATAGATGGACAAAATTTAAACTTAAGGGGGGTGCTTTCGACATTCTGCCCAGACTAAGAAATGGGTAAACAATCGATGGAAACTGGGCTAAATCGTTCACTGGGATATTTAGGGAATCCAGGATAAAACACTGAAAGATCGTTTGTGAAAGATAGAAATGCTTTGAATAGTGACTTCAAACAACACTCCATCCATTGCACATTACCGAACACCTGAAACCGTACCGAAAGAACAAGAATCGAGCGCGAAGAAA